ATATAGTAAAACGTTCTTATACTATTCTGATAGGTCTCTCCAAATTCTCCCGTCGGCTGCCACAGGAAGTCAAGAAATTGATTATTGAGGCCCTGGTGTTCCCACACATAATGTATTGCGCGACAGTGTGGGCAGCATGCAACGCTACACAGCGAAAACGTGTTCAAAAAATAATTAATCATGGTGCACGAATAGTTAAATGCTGCCGACGTCATCAGCATATCACGCCTCACCTTACTGAACTTGAGTGGCCGAGAGTAGAACAACTCATCACAGAACGTGACCTCGCCATGGTGCACCGCCTCCTCAACTCTGTCCATGCACCATCGCACTTGCGAGACCTGCTGCAGCGTCGCGATTGTGTAACCGAGAGGGAAACGCAAGGATCAATGGCGGGAATGCTGCAACTTCCGCGGGTCCGCACGGAGCTCGCCAGACGTTCTTTCGGGTTTCGGGCAGCAGCGAGCTGGAACGAGACGCCGAACGAGGTTCGCCACGCCAGCACGGTCTTAGCGTTCCGCGCGGGGATGCGGAAATGTCGAGCTGGTCTTACCCAGATAGAATAGATCTCATCCGCCGCTTATTTTAAAATACGCTTGTAGGTAACTTGGATTTTAACAGCATCTCTTAGAAAATGAGTATAAATGGCTTATTCGTAGTATTTTAGTAGGTTTTTAGATCATTAGCCTTAAGGACAGTGCATATATGGAATGACTCTTGTGCTGAAAAGCCGTGTTTTAACGGATGCCATACGAATACATGATGATGATGATGATGATAAAAAAGAGCTATCGAATATGCGCTTTGCTGCGGCGCTGTAGTTCAATCTCTTTCTGAATCCTGACTTATGCGCCGCTTTGTCAAAAAATGTCAACATCGGCGAAATTTGATTTTCGGTTGTCGCTGGTGACCTGACCTTCGACCAGTTCGACCTAGCCTTAAAATGATCTAAGTAGTTTTGTAATAGTTTTTGACGCTCTTTCGAACGCCGCCTACTGCGTGTCTCGACGTGGCCCACAAGCTGAGTTAGAAGTGGGTGTTCGAACACCCCCAGCAGGTTCAATAAAAAAACGCTTACGCTGGGGGCGGCACCCCAATGCTAGGCGCTGTCGGCATCGCAATAATGGGCGGCACAGCGCTGAGGGGCGCAACTTGCATTGAGGGGTGGCATTGTACGGTGAAGGGGCAGCGTCGCGTTGAGGGGCGGTATCGCAACGAGGGTGGCACTTACAAGGCTGCCTAATAAGGAACGCTTCGCTTGGCACATCCAAGCCCAGCTCGGCGCCGCCTAGCTGCTGCATCTTGAAAAGGGCCCTTGGTGTCGATGAGAAAGCCCCATTGTCAAAAAATTGCCTAGCGTCAGTGGTTTCGGGGGGGGGGGGGGGGCGACCGAAGTATCCAATTCAGTTTCGCGTCAGTGACTACTGGAGGGCGTCAACGACCTCGGATAGGGCGAATGTGATCTTCAGAAGGGCACCGGGTGCTCTAGAGGGGTGCAATGCTTGGATGGGGTCACTGCTGCCTTCAGTAGGGCATCGGACGCTCTGGAGGGGCGCCATTGATCTCGGATGGTCCGACTGGGATTTTCAGAGGAGCATCAGTGGTTTCAGAGGGGCGCCATTGATCAAGGATGGGCCGACTGAAGCCCCGGTTCAGGTGAGCGCCAGTGGCTCTTGAGGGGCGCCAGCGACCTCGGATTGATGGGGCGACTGTGATCTTTAGAACGGCGTTGAGGGGCGCCATTGGGCATGGATGGGGCCACTGTTGCCTTCAGCAGGGCGCCGCAGGGAGGCTCTGGAGGGGCTTGAGCTTGGGTGGGCCGACTGTAGTCTCCAGGGGCGTTGTCTCGGATGGGGCGAATGTGATTTTCAGAGGGGTGCCGGGTAGTCTAGAAGGGCGCCATTGGTTTCAGAGGGCTGCCATCGATCTTAAGATGGGGCAGCTGTAACCTTCGTTTAGATGGGCGTGATCTTCAGAAGCGCGCCGGACGCTCTGGAGGGGCGTCATTGGGCTTGAATGGGGCGACTTTAGTCTCAAGCGGGACGACTTCAGTCTCAAGGGGGTGGGACGCTAGTGGCTCTTGAGGGCGCTATTGATCTCGGATAGGGCGACTGTGATCTTGAGAAGAATGCGGGTGCTTTAGAGGGGCGCCAGTGGTTTCAGGGATCGATCTTGGATGGGTCGATTGGGGCAGCTGTGAACTTCAGAGGGGCGCCGGGTGCTCTAGAGGGGCGCCATCAAGCTTTAATGGGGCGACTGTTCCGTTTAGGTGGGTGCCAGCGGCTCTTCAGGGGCGCCATCGACCCTGGAGGTTCGGAATATTCTGGTTTCCGGAGGGGCGCCCTTCAAATTTGGGGGCTCAGGTCGTATTTGGGGGTGCCCTGGAGATTATTTAGGTGTCCAGGCACCCCCAAAGAGATATTGAGTTCGATCCCTGCCTGCACATCACTTTTTAATTCATGTTCTCTCTGTAAAACGGCATCAGCCTAGTCGGCGCTAATTGGGGCGCCATTTGGGCGGCTGGGCGGAAAGGGGGGGCCATGGCCCCCATGGCCCCCCCTGTCTACGCCACTGGACCAGAACACCCGAAACGGAACGGGAGTGAACGGAACGCATTAGCGGCTCGCCGAATCGCGATTCCGGCCAAACATGGCCTCAAGAAATAGGTCACAGGTCAAAGGTCATTTGGGTCAGGAATATGAGATTTTCAGAGTAGGTGTCAAATTAATTGACTCGAGGGTCCTGAAAGTTTCGTCGCGATCGGCCGCTTTTTACGCGAGTTATTCTCGAAAAAACGAGGGGGTGGTTCGTTCGCCCCCCCCCCCCCCCTATACGGGCGAGGGATAATTTATTAAAAAGCTAGGGCCTTCTTAATCCCATCTACCAGCTTCAGAACATGTATTGGGCAGATCTGGGAATACCGTATCTTAAATTTATCCCTAGAGGTGTCCCAAGGTATCCTTTCATTCATCTTGGCTTTCCCTCGGCCGAACGCTTCGTGTTTAAAAACCTTTAGAAACTAATTGAAATGAATAATTGGCGGTAAGATTATTGCAAAGGCATGAGAAATTAACGTAAAATACATCATTACCGGTCTTATAACCTCATTTCGCGTATGAAACCTGCCAGAGTCCACAGAGTTTCAGATTCATCCCTAGGGTGTGCCAGGGTGGCGTGTCAGTCATCTTGAACCCCTGCCCGACCCGACGCCTGGAGTTTTAAATACATCTAAAAACTAATACCGTAAATAATTTGTGGTGAAATTGATATAATATGATCAGAAAAGAACGCAGAATAAATTAGTATCGGTCTCTAAACATTATTTTGCCTATGAAACCAGTCAGAGCCCGCGGAGTTTTAAATTCATCCCTAGGGTGTGCCCAGGGTGGCTTTTCTCATCTTGGACCTCTACCAGGCGCGACGCCTCGAGCTTTAAAGTCCTCTAGAAGCCATTGACGGACATAATTTGTGGCGAAATTAATGCGATAGGATCAGAAATAAACGCAGAATAAATTGGCATCGGTCTCAAAACATTATTTTACCTATGAAACCAGCCAGAGCCCGCGGAGTTTTAAATTCATCCCTAGGGTGTGCGCAGGGTGGCTTTTCTCATCTTGGACCTCTGCCAGGCCCGACGCATCGAGCATTAAAGTCCTCTAGAAGCCATTGACGGACATAATTTGTGGTGAAATTGATACAATAGGATCAGAAATGAATGTAGAATAAGTTGGTACCTGTCTCATACCCCTATTTTGTATATGAAAGAAGTTAGAGCCCACCAAGTTTTAAATTCATCCCTAGGGTGTGCCAGGGTGTGCCCAGCTGACTGCGGGTCCAAAGATGACAATTTTGTAGGCGTATCCTGCGCAACTTAGTCAAAAGCGAATTGCAGAGGTAGTGTTTAATTTGCGCAAGCAGCGGCTCATCCGTTTTGCGTTGGCAGCAAACCACCAATCATAGTTGTTATGAATATCCAAAAGCATTTATTCAGAACACAAGCCTGGTTTTTACAAACAGTTGAGGTGATCAAGGTCATTCAACGCATATTTGTTATTAACAGCTGGAAGTGTGCAAGGTTATTTTCTTTCGTTGTCAGTCAGGGTGAGTTGTTGGGTTTGTGCCTTGATTTCGTATTTTTTTCATGGAAATTATGTATTATGTAGCAAACCTATAAGTTCTAACTGTCTATATGGCGCTGCTAGGTATATCTGGTAATCTGGTTGTTAATTGTTGAGCATGAGTTGAGCATTTTTCAAAGATGAAAGAATTCCAATTTACCTGGTTTTGGGGATGAAAATATTTTACCCATTAGGTGTGATTTTCCACCCAAAATTCCCAAAAATGGAACACTGCTGGACCATGTAGCGTTTTCAATCACTCAGCGCCCTTCTAGGAGAATAACGCCCTTTTCATGGTCTCACGGTGCCCTTGTAACCGTCTGGCGCCTCTATGTAGTACGTCCCTCCCCACCAACTTAGCATTACTGACTGTGCGGCGCCCTTCTGACCTCTCTGCGCCACTGATCATATAGCGTTTTTAATCACCTGGCGCCCGTCTGGGAGAATGACGCCCTTGTCATGATCTCACGGCGCCCTCGTAACCTTCTGGCGCCCCTACGGCGGCCTTGCGCCCCTACAGCTGGGCACCCACAGGCCACAATCATTTTAGGAAAATTACACCCCTGAGTCCAAATGCTCATAACGCTAACACCCAAGCTAGAGATGTCAATCGGATACCAACTTTTTGGTATACCGACCGATACCAAACATATACCTACCAACTTGGTATTTAGTATTTCAATCCTAATGTGTTTGATATTTTGTTGGTATAATGAACCCTCACTGATGTATAAGAGGCTGAGAAATTGGTGTTAAGTTGGTATTTCCGCCATGTTCCCAAGTTAGTTCGGTTTCGGTATTTCCTAACTGTCTTGATTGGTAGGTATTTAGTTTGGTATCGGTATTACGATTTTCGGTAATTGACATCACTAAACCAAGCAATGACCAAAGCGATAGCATTCAAAAACTAAAGCGCCGTTATTTGTGACACAAGCGCCATCACTGCGACTTTTTATAGAGAAGGACAATGCATTTTCGATGGGTGTTGCAAATACTACAAGTACTGCTTCCCTCTTGCAAAAAAAGATGTTTTCACTTTCAAAAATATGCCAATTTATGATGTTTTTAAAAGCTATACCTGCGCTAAAAATAATGTGATGGTCGAATCATTTTCTTCAAGAAATAAGAAAGATCATATTCTCCATTTAACCATATCATGCACGGTAGGTATCTTGGCCTGTCACGTGACCTCAGTGTAGTCGTGTAAGCCAAGTGGCATCACTGTGCCCTGGTCTGACAGATGACGTAGTGGGCGTCTGAGTGGCAGCTGCCGTTGTCCCAGGTGCCGTCGCTGAACATGTAGACGCAATTGTCGGGCCAGTCGCTCGGGCTGCCGGACGCCCAGTACTCGAACACCAGCGGCGCGCCGGACGGCCAGGCGAAGTCGTCCCACTCGGAGGGACGCCGCAGTCCCAGCCAGACCCACCGACTGACGCCGACATCCTGCTCGGCCACCATCTGCACCTAACCGGACCGACACGGACGGGCCAGGCTGTCAGCGCTCCATCCACGCTAAGGATAGGCGTCCTGTCACCTCTCAAGAAGCATCATACACTTCAATCGATACTTTGCTCGTTAGGCGACATTCTCAAAATGGAGTAAAAAAAGAACGACATATAAGCCGGCTTGATGCAGAGTGAGGAGATTGCTGAACAATTGGAAGCTTGAATGCAACAATGACAACAACAATATATGTGGCTGCATTCACAAATATTTTATGAAAATCAACCATCTAGGATACCAGTAAAACGCCTTTTGGGCGAAGAACGAGCGAGCGAGATAGTGAGCCCTGCACCTGCAGCAGGGCGAGGGGGTACTTCCAACGGGCTTTTGCAAAGCACTCTTCTAACCGGTCGCTAGCGGTGTACCAAATTTGAACGCGATCGGCCCAGCCGTTCCTGAGATCTGGAAGCGGCATTCTGCACGTGCGCACGTGCAAACGGGGTCCAAAATGACTTTTGCACGGCACCCTACTAACTGGTCCCCAACCGTGTACCAAATTTGAGCGCAATCGGCCCAGCCGTTCTCGAGATCTGGAAACGCCCCCTGCACGTGCGCACGTGCAGTAGCACCCTAACCGCAACACATGGGAATGCATTGCCTGGTGGGTGCCTACCTGTATGCCAAGTTTCAGCGAAATCGCCCCAGTAATTACCGAGTTACTGAAATGGGAACAAATTTGGCACCTCTTATTGTTGTATTTTGCACGTGCAGTGGGGGTCACTCACATAGATGAAGAGTATCCGACCTTTGGTAGAAGGGATGCAGCTACCCTATAAAAATGACCGCAAGACAATCGCTCAAGCCGCTGCTGAGATATGGGCCTCTCAAAATAATTACTTTTGCAAAACTGCTTGAACACCCTTGACTTTTCACGTGGCACGTGCCACGGCGGTCACTGAGATGTATCAAAAGTAGTCAATTACGGGGTAGAAGGGATGGGGCTACCCAGCAAAAAAGACCGCAGGCCATTCAGTCCAGCGGTTGCTGAGATATAAGCCTCTCAAAAGCGTTACAGGCCGGGCCGGGCCGGGCCGGGCCGCTCATACTGAGATTTTTCCGTTATATTGAAAAGACTCACTTCGCTCGCTGCGCTCGCTCGCTCGTAATAACTGTTTCACCTGTGACCTTTCAATACAGGCCTCCTGCTGTGCTTACTATGAAGTTAGTCTCTGGATCGAGCGTCTCGGGCAGGTACGACCCCGGCGCCGCATCCGTGCAGAGCGCCAGCGCCTGGTCGGCCGTCACGGGCGACTGCAGGTGCAGGGGCAGGAAGCAGTCGCCGGCGGGCGACTCCACCCAGCTTGTGTTGGGACACGGCGGCGGCACGGCGCGCGCCAGTGGGCCGGTCAGCAGCAGCAGAGCAGCGGCCGCGCCGCGCCACCCTCTACAGGTCATGGCGTCTCTCTGCGGGTCGGCTCCGGTGAAAACTGGCGCTGGGCGGCAGTGGGGCGCCAGCCATATCGCAGGCCACACGGGAAGCGCGCTGGCCACCGTGGGACTGCCAAACGTGTCCAACGATTGTGCTCGAGCAGATGACGTTCTACCGAACATGCATTCGCCTGAACGTCAGGTAAGACTTTTACTTGTCTTTTTTACCCCGAGTATGTATGTAGGTACGCAAAGAACTATATACTCGCAATGAATTGAAAATTTCCTGCCCGTCCTGGAATGCCGAATGAAGGCAATATTTTTGGACACATGATCGGTATAATTTCGGAGCATGGGTACGGGTTTCGTATTTCCAACAAAGGACAGGCGCTACCCGGAGATGTTTCTTTCTAAGTAGACCTATCCTAACCTGACCTAACCTAAGCTTCAACCTACAAACCTACAACCTAAAACCGCTAAAACCTACAAACCTACAACCTAAAACCGCTAAAACCTACAAGCCTACAACCTAAACCCTCGCATGTGTGCGGCGTTTGCCAGCTTCCAATGTGTAGGGGGGGGGTCGGTTGGACACCCCCCTTGCCGTTTGGCCCCTGATCGAGCTAGAGCTTCGCGGAAAAAACGAGCGTGCTGCCCGTGACGAGAGGAAGCCGATGATACCCAATTTTTAGGTCCTAGGTCATTGGTTGGCCTTCCAGGTCGGGTCAATGACCCAAAGTCGGGAAAATCGGGACCTGTTAGAAAGTCGTAAAGTGTGGCTGCTAAGAGGGGGGGGGGGCGGGTGCTGATCACGAATATCGTGTTAGTTTTGATCATAGATGATGATGTATTCAAGCATTTAGACCAGGTCGGGTCAGGTCAGGTCAACCAGTAGGGGTCGTGACGGGATTTTGTAGTGCGTGTCAACCACCTCTGACAGCTTTGTAACATGTTACGAAGGCACCAAAACTGCTTCGTAGATGTTCAAATGGTTGCTAAATTCGAAATCAGCTCCAAAAACTAGCCTAGAAACATGTACAGCTCGAAAAAGTGAACCGAGGTCACCATAGGTCAATGAGCTGACTTGACCTTCAGGTGACCTTGATATCTACCCAAATGCATGGGAGCAACATCAAATCTCATGTTTGCGCGTTTGAAACCACGAGAAGCTTGCAAACGCGGCTAATGCGAGCCGACATACGCCGAATCGCGATTCTGGCCAAATATGGTCTCGAAAAGTAGGTCAGAGGTCTAAGGTCATTACGGTCAGGGTCATGACATTTTCAGAGTAGGTGTAAAATTGACTAATGCGAGGGTAGGGTAAGGTGCCTAATTAGCGACCCTTTCCTATTTGCGACATACCTTCCTACAGAAAAAACTGACAGGAGAAAAAGGGGTAAAAATATTGTCAAGAGGTCAGCCATACTTTAATTATCAAATTAAATTATGTTCCGGTTGTCGATGTTTCTGGTGGGACGTTTCAGGTGAGTTTAAATAAAAATGACGAGTTTCTTATCCAAAACGTGTGTATTTGGGCCCTCTCTGATGAAAAGCGATGCACATTAGGATGATGCACCTCTTTTATTCTGAATCGACAATCCTTTTTCAATTGATTGCCGTTTTCCCATAGTGAATCGCTTAAAGGGACTATCCCACCTTCTAAAATGTTGTTAAAACCAGTTAAATTGTGCCCGACTTTATAGATTGGATAACCAGGAACACGGTTCTGGCATTTATTTTTCATTAAACATCTTAGGCTTCCCATATTCCAAACACAAACTTTCAAATATGTGACGTCACAGCCCAAAATTACCTCCTTCCCCAGGCCACATTACTGTCATAAAGCTGAATCTTTTTACTCTGTAGGCACCACAACAAAGTTCAGACCAAGTTTTAAGCGATTTTTCAACGAACAAACCCATTTAAATCAGAATGACTAAACGAGGTGACGTCACACTAACGGTCGCTCCGTGTTGAAGATAGGGCCTTGCGCAAGGTCCATTTTCAAATGAAGGGAACGAATTTCTTCAGCACCAAGAGGCCGCGGGGGTTGCAACCTAGATAGATCAGTGTCCCAAAATTTGCCAGTTTGGGTGGGAAAGGACATCCAAATCAAAATAATTTTCCACTCTCACTTCCAATTTTCCAGAATAATTGTTCACTCCCTATTCTACCAATATAGAGCATCTGCGCTTAACTTTCACCTCCCTCCATATTCGATTCAATAATCTTATAGGTAAAGCTGCTCCGACATCCTCCAAAATTTTCAAATTAATTGTTGATTTTTCTTTTCCGCTCTTTTTGTGCCTTTCTGACTGGCAATTTTCCACTCTCAGCCCTCTTTGTAGTGACGAATATTCCCCCCTGACACCCAAGCCAAAATATAATTTTGGGACACTGAGATAGATAGTGGTTTCTGAACCTCGTCGCAAACTTGGCTATCTCAACTCAAATCCCATGTTAAAGGTGGGATAGTCCCTTTAACTCTGTACTGCATGACGGTTAAAAGTGTGTCGCAACTCATATTTCCTATTTGCGCCCGACATGGTCGCAAATAGCTCAAGAAGGGAAAGAAAGGGGGAAAGAGAGAAATGAAAATGAGGTGTTGCTGAAGCTTGCAAAGTGTGGCAGGAGATGCTAAATGTCGTCACTGACTGCAGGGGTGCCGAATCCAGTGCGGACCTCGAAGTTAATACGAGATAACCCGCAAAATTTGGGTATTCGCCAGGGTATGTATTCGCCTTCTTTTCGCCTTCGGTGCATCACGTGATCAGTTTTTGCTTACGTAAACGTGTTGGATAAACGTTCCTGTTCGAGTGATTGAGTGCTTTGCTTATAGGTTACCTTTTTGGGATCATATTTCATCTTTTCAGGCGTCGCATTTTTTGCCATTTTTAATATGGGAAAACCCATATACTTAATAGCGACCCTGCCCGGTCGCTAATCGGGAAGAGTCCCTATAAGCGTTTTTTTTTTTGCAATGGTTTGCCAAAATGCTCACTACAAATAAATTAGTGGTGTTTCCGCCGCCAGTTCTTGTTGAAGCGAAACCCGTAAGATAAAACGCACTGTATTATTTCACACGGCTTTGAGTGGTTTTAACAATTTAGTGGGCACGGATTGGCGGAGAAAAGAAAGACTAAAACAACAAAATGAGTTCAGCAGTGTCAAAATCCCGTTCCAAAATTACAAAAAAACATTATATTCTAAAGGTATCTAAATCTAAAATCATAGACTACGTTTCCATGGCACAAGTTAAGCCGATTTTGAAAAATGGATTTGCTCCATCATAGCATTTAGGCATAATGTAAAAATGTAAATATAGGATTAGGTGCTTGCTAAAGCCATATATACGCTCATTTTTTGCATAAGGTAAATAGTTTCCGAGAAAAACGCACGTGAAATTTCACTAAATCGATTTAGACGTGTCATGGAAACGTAGTGATAGTCCTCAACTTCAAACCGTTTTCCATTCGACTTGAAAGTCTCATGCTCGTCTCGCGGGATATCGTTCGTATGGCGCTTTCGGTATTGCAACGAATATAGACGAGGATAATTTTTCGGCTTTCACAAGTGGATATTTGGGCAGAAAATGACTATATTTTAACCCGCGCCGGGCCGGTGCTCTGAGATTCCGCGCCGGGCCGGGGGGGGGGGGTGTGTCTGAAGTTGAACACCCCCCTTCTAACTCGGCTCCTGGGCCACGTAGCGACACGCAGTAAGCGGCAATCGAAAGAACGTCCAAAATAAGGACGAAAACACTTCGGTCATTTTTTTTTGGTTCAGGTCAAAGGTCAGGTTACCAGAGGTCACCAAAGGTAAAATGTTGACTATTTCAACATTTTGGAAACTGCCAAAGGCTATCTCGGGAACCGATAGAGCTACAGCGCCGCGGAAAAACGCATTCGATAGCCCTTTTACAGACCTTTCTGAGCAATGTTCTCAGATTTGACCTCAGGCCAACGTTTTAGCCTCCAGAGGGAAAAAACTCAAAAAATAGCCGTTTTTACGAAAATTGGTTTTTCGAAGACAACTTTTGACTCAAAAGAGCCATGACATTACTTTTGCCAGCATCGTGTTCCTCTCGTCGAGATGCGTCAACTGAACTATAAGTTGACCTTGAAAGGTCAACTTGAAAATTTGACCTCAGGTCAAGGTCATGACCTGACCGGAAAAGGTCATGTTGCATATCAGTTGATCCGCAACGTCGAGCCGAACACATTAAAGGCGTTTTCAGAGCTCTAGCACGCCTCTATCAGAAGTTACTGGCAAAAAACTGTTAGATTTTGTTCGTGACCTGAGATGACCTCGGGGACATAACGAGGGGTCACAGTTGCCATTTTCTGGTTCAGTGTGTCAATTTTACATACATCTCGATGTTTGAGACTGTCTGGAATAGCGTTCGTGCAAAACAGACGCTTTTCAATTTTCTCCCATTGACTTATAATGGAGAGGCCGCAACATTGACCACCGATACCGATATCAAAACTCCGAGATATACATGTTATAGATAGTGCTGCTCTTATCAATCGCTGAAAGTTTCAAGGCAATCGTTCAGTCGGTGTATATGACGAGCATTCTTATTTTTTCTGAGGTGAGGTCACTTGGCGTGACCTGTTGACCTGACCTAATGTGACCTGGGTCTGAAATTTTCACAACATGTGCGGAAAAGATGCACAAACAGGTGTGCCAATAACGGCGGCGCTCCGCGCCGCCGTTTTTGAGATATCTGCGAAAAACCGCAGGGGGGGGGGGGGTGTTCAAACACCCCCCGGCCCGGCGCGGGTTAATAGAAAAATGAACGATATCTCCGAAAATCAAGCTATAGTTCGTTTTTTTTTTCAAAAGGACTCTGGCTCCAAGTATGTTTTTCGAAAAAGCACGCGTTTTAGCGAGCAAAACTAGCAAAAACTGAACTTGAGAAACTCGAACGTCGCCTTATTTTAACATGTGAATTATTCCCGATAATTTCCATCCGTGCGTTTTGGAACCAGATTTGAGAACAGTGGTGACGTCATGCTGTCGAACTTGTTTTGCAATGTAGCGTAAAACTATCATGGACGAAACCGCTTACTCGATTATAACCTCGGCAACAGTGAAAAACGAAGTTTCCCCAAATTCGTCGAAATTTGGTCCCATCGCACGGACATTGAGTGCCTGCTGCCACCAGTGACGTCATCATAGTATGCTATTTTTTCAAGACACAATTTCCAGGCACTTACCGTGCACAATTTGAAATCGAATATTTTTTCGGTAAGAAATTCTTGGCCAGACGCTGAAGCTGCCAAAACTCACGTGAGAGCTTCGATAAGGAACTTTGAGCCAGCGTCCTTTTGAAAAAAAAACGAACTATAGTAATAGGTACAGTGGCACCCATAGAGCGTGAGCAATGGCGGTTCAAATTAAGGGGGTCGCTAATTAGGTACCTTACCCTACTGAGAGTTTTGGCGCGGTCAGCCGCTAAGTTTACGTGAGTTATTTGTGAAAACAGAGGGGGTCCGTTCGACCTCCCCTATACGAGCATGGCTCGGATTGCCTTTTTTGCTTTTTGTTGTTGTTGTTTTTTTTTTTTGTTAAAAAATATGGTCTCAGGGCTGTGACGAAAAACAAGTGGCCTAAATCCGGTGAGAAAGCAGGATTTGGGGGTACCCTAGGTTTGGGTCCTTCAGTCTCTGCCCCCCCCCCCCAGTGAAAATTCCTTAGACGAGGCCCTGCTTTATACCCCTGTTGTTAGAAAAGTTGTGGACCGATTTACTTGATTCTTGCATGACAAGTAAGATCCGCCATTCAGTTCTTAGCAGGTACCGAAAATTTGACGTCAATTGCACGATCCGCTGCCCACATTGCTGCGGTACTGCCATCTATTGACAAGGGTGGAGAACTAAAGCCGGGCGGCTATTTCCACTTCTGACACACCATGCAGTGCAAATGATAGCAGACAATAGTAGTTTCCCCTACCGGTGATGTCCGTCA